GCGAATCTCTGCTGCAGCTGTAGTTGCTACTATACAGGTATATTCTTTTACTCGATGTATTTATTTTTGTAATCCATTTTTATTAAAATGAATGATTTTTATTAAAAAAGCTAGCGAAAATAAATGAGTTCTCCATTATTAGTTTAATGCGAGGTCTACAATAGAAGTCGTAGAGATCGTAGGGTCTTATGTCGTAGAAAATTGACCAATCATATTCGATTATTCTTCTCACATTCGATTGTGATTGGTTAATTTTCTACGACATAAGACTCTACTCTTCTTCTTCTTATTGATTAATGGCTCCTGCCTCCCATATATATTGAACGGAGACAATACGATCAGATCACGTCCTTATGAGAGATACAAAAATTAAAGTGATGCAATGCTCGCGAAAATATCAAAACCCGCCCGAACATCAGGCGCTGCGTCATGCTGCATGGACGCGCGTCAAGACGAACGAACGGGTCGTCCAAAACCAGGACGGTTATGAGTGTTTCAATGCCCAGTCAAAGTCAGCAACACTTTCAAAAATATAACTTGTAGCACCCGAGCTAAGACGCGTCCGCCGCGAGCGAGTGGTTCTTCAAAACTCACTTAAGACTCTACGACCGCTACAATTTCTATTGTAGACTCCGCATAAATCTACAATAAATGTTTTTCAAGCCTTAAGCCTTAAGAAATTGACCAACTACAGTCAAATGCAAGGAGAATAATTAAGTGTGATTCGTCCATTTCTTATGGCTTCAGGCTTAAAATCTATTGTAGATCTAAAGTAAAGGATTAATAAAGCCAACGAAAATACGCTCCATGAAAAGGAAGAAAAGCGAACAGTTTTTAAACGCTGCTTCATGGTCTTCCACCATACGCTGCTTTGATTGTAATCGAAGTCATAGTGGAAGGATTACATGTGGTTTCCTTACACTGTTTTCCTACACTAAACTGTTCTAGAACTCTCTTTCTCGCTTTAAACAAATATCAAACTGTAGCGGATTGTTACATATAATAAATGTAGGTAATGAGGGAAACTCAGATTCATAAGTATTGGATGGATCCATATATTCGTTCGGTTTTTGAAGGCTAAAATGAAACAAGTTTTTTTCATACAAAGGATGAATTT